ACTTGGGGAACCGCTTCCATAAGCTCAGGCTGCAGGCAAGCCCATAGGGCATTTTCTTAATTGGTGATTGATGCAGGAGGGCCCAACCCATTGTGGGTGATGCCATCCCTGGGCTGGTGATCCTGAGTTTTATAAGAAATCAGGCTGAGTAAGCTATGGTAAGTAAGCAGGCCAGTAAGTAAGCAGCACCCTCCATGGTCCCTGCATCAGCTCCTGCCTCCAGGTTCCTGCCGTTTGAGTTCCTGCCCTGACTTCCTTCAATGATAAACTAAGATGTGAAAGTATAAGTAAGCCACACAAACCCTTTCCTCCCCAGCTTTTGGTCATGGTGTCTCATCAAAGCAACAGTAACCTTAACTAGGATAACAAAGATATACAATGAGCCCTTTCAGTTCTGAACTATTCAGAACTATTTACCAGCATTATCTTGGTCAAGTTATTTCAGTTCTTGGAGTCCATTTTCTTACCTAGAAAATACAGTTCTCTATTCTGAGGAGTATATGTACCAGTGAGAACACAAAAGTATGAGGAAACATTGTGCCCAGCCTACAAAGACTTATTCAACAAATACACTCTCTCCCAACAGTTAAACCCAATCTCTCTTGCAACTGACATAAGAGATTATGGATTACTCCAATGTCACACCATCCGCACTGACTTTCATCTTGCAGGAACGACTGTATTTCAATGAGGTCATCTACTCAGCGAAAACAGGCACAGCAAAGGGCACAAAATACAGCCAAATTCAACTGCATTAATCAAGGAGCACCTCTCTTCCAAAAAGTCTCCTATCACAACACAACTGGGGTAAATTGTTTGTAAACACCATGCTGAGTTCTGCCTATGCGGGCTGAGATATGCAGATTTCAGCCAATATAAGAAATGTATCCGTGAAGATAAAAAGGTACTGAATAAGCGTTACTCTACCCTCTTCTAGGATAGCTATATGTAAAAAAAAAAAAAACAAAAAAAAAACAAAAAACCTTAAATACCAACTGACAGCAAAAAAAATTCTAAAACCTGGGCTGGAGAAATGGTTCAAAGGTTAAGACCACTGACTGTTCTTCCAGAGGTTCTGAGTTCAATTCCCAACAACCACATGCTGGCTCACAACCATCTATAATCAGATCTGGTGCCCTCTTCTGGCCTGCAGGGATATGTGCAGGAAGAACCCTGTATACATAATTAATAAATAAATCTTTAAAAAATTCTAAAACTTGTAACAACGGTTGAAAGATTAAAATTTAGACTTTGAACATTCTGTTCACCAATGCTCTGTGACAGGTATACAGAAAACACCATCCATGTGAATATTAACTTGATTTCTCTTTGGGAGAAAATTTAAGGTCCAATCAATTGAGGAAAGGTCGGTAGCCCCAATGTCCCCCAGTAAGCATGCAGATAAAGTCAGTGGGACCACGTACTATGTAGTCACAGAAGTCAGAGTCATTATCTATAGGTCATCTTCAGTTTCTACTCCTGTAGAGCAAGTTCTCTGAAATCTACATCCTGATTTAAAGTCCATCATCCCCATTAAGTACTTCACTTATTGGGCAACTGTTCTGTATTTTCTTTTTCCTTTTTTTTTTTTTTTCCGGTTTTTCGACACAGGGTTTCTCTGTAGCTTTTTGAAGCCTGTCCTGGAACTAGCTCTTGTAGACCAGGGTGGCCTTGAACTCAGAGATCCACCTGCCTCTGCCTCCCAAGTGCTGGGATTAAAGGGGTGCTCCACCACTGCCTGGCCTGTTACGTATTTTCTAAAACTGGTCTCTGTTTACAGTCTGGACATTATTTAACCCAACATTTTACAAACTAAAAGTGGCAAGCATTTTTTAAAAACAAAACAATAGACAATATAAGAATGTATTGAGTTGGGTGCCTTTAATCCCTGCACTTAGGAGACAGAAGCAGGGGGATCTCTGTGAGTTCAAGGCCAGTCTGGTCTACACAGTGAGTTCCAGGACGGACAGGGCTACACAGAAAAGCCATGTCCTGGAAAAAAGAAAAGGAAGGAAAGAAGGAAGATGGAAGAAGGCATTACATATGTAAGGATGCTATTTCATGAAACATTTCAATCATAAACATGGCATATATGCCAACTTTAAAAATCCAGAAAAAAAGGCTGAGGTTCCCATTTAACATATCAAAACTGGACATGGCAGCCAGGTTCTCCCAGCATCCCTCAGTCCCTACCTGCTACAAGGTATGGCTGGCATACCCTGTCCTATACTCTAAACTTTGCAGCCCAGGCACTGGGCTGACCATCTCCCAGAGGCTCTTCCTATATAATCCAGGCATTTTGGTTAGCCACCCACTTTTGGACCTCTGGCCTCCTGTTTGCTGTCCCTGGTTTCCCCTCTCTCCCCTCCACCTCCCCCACAGGACCCAGCTCCCTCTGGTCATGTCCACTCTGCCCTCTCCCAGAGGTCCCTGCCTCTGACAATGCTCTCCCGCATGCTATAAGCAATTTCTCTTCCACCACACCTTACTTTTTTTTTATTTATTACAGATAGTACTGTGTTCCAGAAAAATATTCACACTGCAGCCTGAAGTTTAAAAAGTCGAAAAGCTACTGCTTAACCCATCTTTCTAAAACATTAACCAAATGTATTCTCTTGTTTAAAAGCTTCCAAGAGGCCTATTAAATACAGAATAAAGTTTAAATTCCTTAAAATGGCACTTCAGTTTATCCACAGTAAAGCTCATCTAAGTCTTCTGCAACTCCATGTTCCAGTTCCAACAGTATCTAGGTATGCTGTCCCTTCTACTTACATTGTTATACTTCTTTTTTTAATATTTATTTATTTATTATGTATACAATAATCTGTCTGTGTATGCCTGCAGGCCAGAAGAGGGCACCAGACCCCATTACAGATGGTTGTGAGCCACCATGTGGTTGCTGGAAATTGAACTCAGGACCTTAGGAAGAGCAGGCAATGCTCTTAACCTCTAAGCCATCTCTCCAACCCTGCTATACTTCTTCTATTTATGTTGCATGGCCTATGATTTCAAGACTTGGGGCAAGCCAGAGGCAGAAATGTACTTGATTAAGTAGCTTTAATTTTTGTATTTGGGAGGCAGTGACAGGCAATTCTCTCTGAGCTCCAGACTAACTCAGGGCTACACAGTGAGATCTTGTTTCACAACATACACACACAAAACAAAACAAAAATCAAAAAAAAAATCCAAAAAAGTGGATTCAAGTCTGCTCCCTAGAAGTCCCAAGACAGACAAAGTACACTATGAGCCCTGATGACTGCTCAGCCCCTTACACTGTGGGCCTTTCCGCAATGTTGTTGGCTCTGGGTTAAAGAACACAAGCTAGGCTTTTTCTCCTCCTACACACTGTGCTTAAGCCTCCCCTAAAATGCTGGTGTGCTCAAAGGCTCTGCCCTTGGTCGTCTTACATTCTCTATTTTTTTGCATTTTCTAAACCACACTTGGAGCTCCCGTTATTATTTTTATGCCAAGAACTGCTCTACTGCCTGCGTCAAAGTCTAAGTGCAAATCATCTAGACCAACTCCTTAAGTCGTGGGGTTTCAATCAATTTTTCTTTTCCATTTTCTATACACCAACCAACTATGTCGCAGGTTCAAGAAACAAGCTTAAGCTAGCATTCCCCCCACCACACACACTGTTTTCAGGGCCTCTAACTACCCTGAAAACATAAACTTTAAAGTCCTTAGTAAAGTCCACAGTAGTGCCTACACTTCAGAGTAGCAGGATCACTTTTTTCCTATATCTCCACAGCTCATCTCTCATTCTTTCACCATTTATTCTATGCATCAGCTGCACTTCTGAAATACTGTTTTATTTTTCTTCATCACGGTCTCTCATATTCATAATAAGTACCAAATCGTCTGTACTACTCTCTTTGATCTCCTAACTAGGTTATGCACCCTTAAACTCCTACCAAAACAATCACGCCCTCACGAACAAGTAAATCCATGACTCTTTGTTACACATATTGGACCTGTGCCATTGTTGACCTAGCCTCATAGATTTCGGGTAGGAAGGCAGAGACCAAGTTCATGTTCAACATCGTGAGCCAGGGACAAGTACAATGCCAGCAAGCTAAGACTAACTGCTCTGCACTCCGGGAGATGGCACTTGGACTTGATCGTGTAAATTGCAACAGCTTTCGTTATGTGTTCTGGAGACTGAAGCGTCCTTCTGCTTCATGCACACACTAGACTTCCTTAATAAAGCACTCTCTCTATCCGAGCTGAGGAAAGCATACAGGTGCGGTCCACCCGGTTAGCAACTGTCCCCAAGTCTTCCACACCACAAATGTCGCTAGAAACTGTAGCTCCTCTCCTCTACGAGTGGCTTCCAGTGATTGAATACGGGGGTATCAGAGTAATGATTAGATAAGAGAGACAGGAGTCCCGTGGTCCTCAGACTGACATGAAACAAGGACAAAGATTGTTTTATTTTCCCACGTACCAAATGAGGTGGCGCTGCCTCTGAGCGGTCCCGCCCGCCCCGGGACGCAGGCTGGCGAGGACGGTGGGACACTGAACTGTACGGGAGTGTCCTTGGGGTCGAGAACACGCCTCTGCTTGCCGGGGAAGCTCCGGGAGTCCGAGGCAGCCGGCGCGGAGGTTCCAGCGGCGTCCCAGCGGGGCCGCTTGGTGCAGGGCTCACAGCCGGGGCCCGCACTCATGCTGGGACCCGCAGCGCACAGTTCCCGGGCCGGCCCGGGCGGAGAGCCTCATTCACTAACCCTGACGGGGACGGACTGCGCCTCCTTCTCGGCGCCCCCCGCACCATTCCCACTCTGCGGCGGCCCGCTCCTGCGGCTGCTGCTCCTCCGGTCTCCGATCCAGCCACCTCCCTGCGCAGCCGCTGGCCTCCGCTCGGTCGCAGGGAGCCCACCTGCCCCCGGACGCGCGCCGCTTCCACTCGGGTTAGGGCTCCGTCTCACTTTCCCACCACCGGAAAGCAGTAGTCCCTCCCGCGCGCCGGACTTCCGGGTCGTACACGGCCGCAAAGCGGAAACGTGGTGCTTCACGGGAGCCGGCGCCCGGAAGGTCAGCGTGTGAAGGTGGCAGTAGCAACGCGGGTCTTCCCGCTGTTGCTGTGGGGACCACGGCCGAGCACACAACCCCGGCCTGAGGTGGTGGTGGTGGTGGTGGTAAGCCCCCCGCAGTTTGCCGCGACGTCATGGAGGGTGGCGGGGGAAGTGGCAACAAAACCACCGGCGGGTTGGCCGGCTTCTTCGGAGCGGGAGGAGCGGGTTACTCGCACGCTGATTTGGCCGGCGTTCCGCGTAAGTATCAGGCCTGCCTTTACTACCCTCTGACGGTGTCCTGGGACAACTAGAAATTTGCCCGGATCCTTGTCGCTTTCCCTGCTTGCGTTCACAGGGTTCACCGCCAGGGATGGGGTTTCAAGACTGAGCGAATTTGGGGGTTGGGGGTGGCATGAATCACCCGAAACTCGTTTATTGGCCTAGTTTCGGAAGGACACACAAAATGTCTTCCTTTAACACCCTTGTCCCTTCTTTTCTCTCGTCGCACGCTTTCCTGTGTGCTTGACCCTAGTTCTGGAAATGAACACATTTCATATAACAAGCCCATAGTTAATTTTTTTTTAGCATGGTCTCTAAATATTTCTAAATTCTAAATCACGCGGTTAGGCGAAAACCCTCTTTTTTGAGACAATCCAGGGAACCAGAAGGAGCTGGGAAATGAGCTAGACTTTAGGAGATTTATAAACAAGAAAGAAGCTAACAAAATTTTTCAAGGGAAGAAAGCAAATGAAAAGATACAGAAGCATGGATATCCTGCCTGCTGGACCGCCTCATTCCCATAAGTACATATTTCAGGCTTTTAAGGTTTGGTAATTTTAGAAATTGAGCTGAATATATGAAAGTTGGGCTTGAAGATAACAGGGAGTTGTGAATAGCCTTTTGTTAAAGTGGGTGTTTCTTCTTGCTAATCCTTGTACTATTTCTCAAAATCCTTTATACTTAAGAACATAAAGAAAACCCTTTGTCCCTAATATCTACTGTCTACACTGAGTCCAGAACGCAATTGGTGTGCATCTTAGATTTTCTCTGTGTAGAGTGAAGGGCACTGCTTAATGTGACAAAGTAATTGCTGCTTTTTTTATGTGTGCGTAAATACTGCTGAGGTGAGCCAAATAACATAAAAAGATGGCCGTTAGTGATAGATGTTATGAAGGAAATAGGACCCTGAGATGATGGTGGGAGGAGGAGGCTATTTGAGATCAAGAAAACAACTTGGGAGTTGACATTTGAGCTATGACCTGAATTTAGCAACAAATGTTTGAGAGATGGGACAAAGTTGATGGGTTACTTGAACCCATGTTGGGTCCATGTGTCTTTAGCTTTACAAGGGAGTAAAGTGATAGATTGTAAAAGCGGAGAGGCAGGAAACAGCAGTAAATAGAAGTGCTTAGAAACGGGGGTAAGGGGATTGCATTTGATCCAAAGTGTGGATGGAAGCTATTAGGGCTGATTTCCTAGGGCTACAGAGTGAGTTGAGAGGGTAAGAGAAAGTAAGTTGAGAAGTTGTCGGTAAGAGTGAGATGTGATGCTTGCACTAGGATGCTAGTGTAACAATGGAAAGACTGAGGTGACAGGACTTCGACTTGGTGGCCGTCATGGTGAGTGCTTACATTTGAGAGCAATCAACTGAGATACAGAAGGACTCAAATACTAGATTTTTAAATCTGAAAATTAATTTTTCTTGCTACTTCCCCCCCCCCAAAGTTGGTAGAGTTAAAGTTTAATTTAACCCTCTGAAAGTTTGTATTTTCTTTTCCATAAGCTTCCTCCCTGTGGTAACTACAAGCAGAATTGTCAGTAGTGTGATCTGAAGGAGCTGCCTTGATGTACTTACCCACAATCAAAAACACCAGCCCTACCACTGTTTCCCTGAGAGACTGATAACTCTTTTGCAATGTGCTTGATCGTCTTGCTAGTTAAACTACTTTTATTCATGGTCTGGGAGAGCAAGTGGGTATGGGTACTTTCTCCCAAGCCTGATGACGTGAGTTGGATCCCTAGAAGCAGACTGGTAGAAGGAAGGGACTCCAGTGGGACCATATGCACACCAGCACACACAGAGACACACAAACTCGTAAGGAAATGAGTAAATTTTTTTAAAAAAAATAAAAATAAACCAAAACATAACAGCCTAAGCTAATTTTCTGGGAGTGTCATGATTTGACCTGTCAGCGCCAATACCTTAGGAAAGTGTAGGGCATCAGTGCAGAGCGTAGTTCCTCAAGATATTTTCACTTTTATTGAATTTCAAGAAATGTAACGATCAGCTGAATCAATCCTATAGGAAATAGTTTAAGGAATTTTGTGTAATATGACATTTTGTTTTTTCTCTAGTGACTGGTATGAACCCCCTGTCTCCGTATTTAAATGTGGATCCACGCTATCTTGTTCAGGTAAGATAGAGGTTTTACTGGTTTGATTTGGTGACCTACTCTACCACGAAGGTCACACTTAGTGCTGACAAGTGGGAGGTACTTCTGGAGGGCTGATCTTCCAGTCTCCATGCACTCCTCCTCAGCACAGACTCGGGTTTGTCTTGTGCTTCTTCCTGAAAACATTGGTGCTTCTTCTAAGGTGTTTGTTTTGTGTAGTGAAAAGAATCACAGTAAAAGTAATCTTTGTTTTTTGTTTTTTGTTTTTTTTCATTTTGGTTTTTTTGAGACAAGGATTCTCTGTGTAACCCTAGTTGTCCTGAAAATCACTCTGTAGAGGAAGCTTGTAGGGAGTCTTTCTCTGTCTCACCAGCCAACTCCCAAATAACCACACAGAGATTATTAGTTATGGAAGCTTGGCCAATAGCTTAGGCTTGTTTCTAACATGTTCTTTTAACTTAAATTAGTCCATTTCTATTACTTTATGTGTGGCCGTGCGGCTCATGGCTTATTACTTCATCTCCTACATGTTATGCTTTTTCTGCATCTCTTCGTGACTCTACCCTTCTTCCCAGCATCCTCTGTGACTGAAAATCCTGCCCAGCTATTGGCTGTTCAGCTCTTTATTAAACCAACCAGCGTGACACATCTTCACAGTGTATGAAAAGATTATTCTACAATAGAAACCACCCTTGATCTCAGAGATCTCATCTGCCTCTGCCTCCTGAATTCTGGGACTAAAGGTGTGCACCACCGCCCAGTGTAATCTTTGTTTTTAAAGTTTAATTTGAAGTATCAAGGTCTTGAACTAATTACCAAAAGTTGAAAATCCAGTGTTTGGATCTTTCGAGGAAATGAAGTTAATTTAACATCTAAAAATAAATATTGTATAGTATTTCCTGTTAAATGGCATCTACAGAATATCTAATGTAATGTCATACTTAGTATATTTTTAAAAAAAAAAAAGACTGGATAAATTCTTCAAGGTCAGGAGATGAGGAACAATACAAGCATGTCCACTCTCTTTACTTCTCAGGATCAGGAACAATACAGGCATGTTTACTGTCTTTACTTACCTTCAGAATTGTCTAACCAGCGCAACAAAAGAAGTGGATTCTGCAGGCTTGCTGTGTGTGCCTTTAATTTCAGTACTTGGGAGTCAGGCAGAGCTCAGTTTGAAGCTACTTATATAATAAGACCTTGTCTTTTAAAAGGGGGGGGAGCCACGAAGTGGTGGTGTATGTCTTTAGTCTAAGCACTGGAAAGTAAGAAGTAAGTGGATCTCTTGAGTTCAAGGCAAACTTGGTCCATAGAGTACATTCTAGGACATGCAGGACTGCACAGAGATACCCTATCTGGAAAAACCCAAAAGGAAAGAAATGTTATCTAGACTGAGAAAGAATCAAAACTGTTTGCAAATAATGCAAGATTCTTAACTACAGTAATTTGAAGATAAACAAGAAAATCTATTAAAATTAATAAATGAATTTAGCATAGTTGTAGAATGTGAGCCCTATAACATAAATTAGTCCTGATTCTATACAGTAGCAATGAACACTCCAAAAATAGAATTAGGAAAATAGTTCCTTTTCATTTAGTATAAAGTGTTCCAGGGCAGTGAGGGCTACTTGTAGATAAGTAAAAAGAAAAAGAATGGAAAAAACAGAAGAAAAAAAAAGTGACAGGGTAGCCTGGAAACTGGGAGAAAATAATTTGTAGAGCACTTAATAGGGGACTTAAAATTCTTAACATTTAAGATAAAAGAAATGAGTTATAAAATTGCATTGGATTGGAATAGGTGTTTTTATGAAACCATACAAATGTCCAGTCACATTAAATGTAATCACAAATGAGATGCCATTTCACATATATCAAAAAATACAAATATTGGTAAGAAGATTGGGAAACTAGCCAGTTAGCTAGTAGGAATGTTAAAAGATACAGGTGTTAAAGCAGGCGTGGTGGTGCACACCTGTAATCTGAGCACCCAGCATGTGTAGGCAGGAGGATCCAGGCTATCCTTGACTGCATAGCAATTTTGAGAGTGATGAGCTTGAGTTTTCCGGGTGGAGAGAGATCAAGGCAGGGTCTCATTTTGTAGCTTTGACTGTCTAGAGCTCACAATGTAGACCAAGAGGACCTTAAACTCAAAAGCAATTCTGCTTCTGCCTCCTGAGTTCTGGGGTTAAAGGTGTATCCCACTATTTCTGGCCGAGCTTTAGAGTCTTGAGAATCTCCCTGTCTCAGAAAAGAAAGAAGCAAAAGATAGAACTGCTTTGGAAAGGTCTGATATTTTCTAACAGTGTGAAAAATAGTATAACCACCTTTACACAAGACATTATTTATAGTTTCTCTTACTCGTTACTTTTTGTTGTCATTCTTAGATGCACATTGAGATTATTTTTTTAATTTACCTTAAAAGTAACAAATATTTCTGAAACTGATGAATACCTGATGTAAGAACAAAATTTAATTATTTTCAATATCCATGGTGTTGTCAGATTGAAATTATAAAGCTTTCACATAATCTCTGCCTTGTAGCTTTCAGGTACAGTACCTGTTCCCAACTTTATTTTTCTTCTGTATTCACAATACTAGTGCTTAGTTTTAGTATCATCATGTCCTAGAGTATAGCAGTACAAACTTAAGAACATCTCCGAATATTTTCCCTGTGCAGTGTCTTGGCATACTTGCAGCCTTCTTTGTATGTGAATTGCTGTACACTTGTCTCCAACCTTTGTAGTGTTTATGGTTGATATTCCTGAAAAGTAGGCTGGTGCTCTTGTTTGTCCTTTTTATTTCCAATTTTTAATTAGTTGTCTATTTTCGAATTGAAAGGGTAATTATTTACCTTTTCTGGTCAAGTAAACATTTCTAAGTAGAAGGCATTGGGAGTAATTTAAAATTAAGTCGTAAGTTGAAAAGTCAGGAAACATCTGCTAAAACTATCAAATAGAATTTTTTTTATTGTCATGGTGTGAATACATGCACATATTTGTACAGCTTTTTTGCTAAGGGTGTGTATACACAAGCCAGGAATGAGAACCCAAACAGAGCCACTTTTCTAATCAGAAATGCATTTATCAAAATTCAGTGTTTGCCATGGGGCTAGGAAAGAAGTAGAAGTGCTACTTGTTAGTTGTTAGTGGTCTCTTTGTGTTCACAGTGGTATATTGTACACTGTGCTCTATTCATCACTATTATTTTAACCATTTTTACATGGGAAGATTCTTAATTACTTTTTATTGCTTTGAAAGACAAACATGACCAAGGCAGCTCTTAGAAAAGAAAGCCTTTAGTTAGGGGCTTATTTCAGTTTTATGGGGCCCTTTTCATTGAAATCACAAGAAGCTTGGCAGACGTAAGTTGTTCATAAAAGTGTATTGGTTTCACAATTTGCTTCCTAAAAACTTTTGGGTTTTTAAAAAATGATGTGTTTGGGGACTAAAGAGATGGCTCATCCTTTAAAGAGTACTAACTGGTATATGCTTGGTTTCCCTTCCCAGCATCCACATGGTGTCTCAGAATCATCCCTAGCTCTAGTTTCAGGGGATCCAATGCTGTCTTCTGTTGTCCTTGAGCACCAGACTTGCGTGTGCATCACATACATTCATGCAGATGAAACACTCAAACATAAAATAAATCTAACAGGGAAAGGTATAGTAGCTCTTTTTTGCTAGTACTGGAGTAGCACCTCCCAAATAAGGATTTGGGGTAGAGGTGTATGCTGAATTTGTGTACATTCTGACTTTGTATGCTTCTGCCAGAAAGAAGTTCTACAGTTCTATGGTTAATCAAAGAAATATATATCCCTATGTTAAGGACATGGAAGAAAGAAGCTTCTTTGTAACATGAGGGCCGGCTTGTTGGGGTTTCTGTCCCGTCCAGTACCCCACAGCCAGCAAGCCCAAAGAAAATCACACACAAGACTCCATACGGTTATAAACTGATTGGCCCATTAGGTCAGGCTTCTTGTTAACTCTTATAACATATATTACCTCATTATCCTTATCTATGTTAGCCACATGGGCTCAGTACCTTTCTCAGTGTGACAGCTTCCATGTTGCCTCTTCAGTGGTCTGTGCAGGAATGGCAGAGGGAGCTTCCTAGAATACTCCCAGTCTCTTTTCTCCACCTCTACTTCCTGTCTGGCTTTCCTACCTATACTGCCTGCCTGGCCAATCAGCGTTTTATTAAAATATGATTGACAGAATACAGATAATTCTCCCGCACCACTTCTTGCTCTTTGTCTGCTTGCTCTTGCTCTCATGTTAAGGTCATTCCTTCACTGGTATTAGAGCCTACTTTGGACCTTCTGTTGGTAGACAGCCATTGTTGGATTAGCTGGACCACAGCCTATAAGACTTTCTATAAATTCTCTTTAATGAACATAGATTCATTCTATAAATTCCATTCCTCTAGAAAAGGCTAATAAAAGTGGCATGAGCATAACACACTGAATTCTTTGGTGGAATTCTTATTCTGAACTTTCATTTACCCCATCTATTCTTTCAGTAGTGTAACTTTGTGTATACGGTGTTCTGCCTGCATGCCAGATGAGGGCACCGGATCTCATGGATTGTTGTGAGCCACCATGTGGATTTATGGACTGGCTATTAGTGCAGATAGTTTTTGTTTTGTTTGAATATGATAGCTGAGTTTGCATTAATTTGATTGTTTACTTATTTTAAAACTATTTTTGAAATGTTGAAGACACCTGTAATTCAAGCATTTGGGAGGCTGAGGTGGATAATTGTAAGTTTCAGGCCAGCCTAGGCTACATAATGAGACTGCCTAAATCTGAAAGAGAAAAGTAGGAAGAAAGTTACAGTTTGAAGCATGATTCATAAAAACTCAGACAGATGTTGGGATGTAATTCAAAGACCAGAAAAACAAAACAGCCAACCAGGGCCTTTTAATCTCAACTTCAGTCCAAAAATGGCGATCCTGCCTCCAGGAATCTCAGAATGAGACTGAGATCTGTTTCCTCCAGTCTTATATTTTTCTCTAGTTCTGGATTAAGGTTGTGCACCACTGCCTGGTCTGTGCTGGCCAGTGTGATTGTTTTACTTTTCTGATCCTCAGGCAAGCTTTATTAGAATACAGATGACTACAATAGCTGTCCAAGTGCTGTCTTCAGGGAGCACTCATCTTGATTTTCCTTTTTATCCTTCAGGATACTGATGAGTTCATTTTGCCAACTGGCGCTAACAAAACCCGAGGCAGATTTGAGCTAGCTTTCTTTACCATTGGAGGATGTTGCATGACAGGTGGGTAGTATATTTTTTTATGTCCTTATATCCAAGTAGTTAATGGTCCTTAATGTGAAAAATAACTAGAATATTGTTTTCAACTTAAAACATGTATCATTTTTTATTGTATAAAAACAAACCAGAAACATAAAGCCTTTTTTTTTTCCCCCTTTGGGCTGAATTGTTCTGATGATTCACCACCAGGGGCTGCATTTGGGGCAATGAATGGTCTTCGGCTAGGATTGAAGGAAACCCAGAGCATGGCCTGGTCCAAACCAAGAAATGTACAGTAAGTCTGTGAAATCTTTTGATGAATTGATGTTTGCATATTAGCTTCTGCTTTGTTGTTTGGTGGTTACCACCCCCTGTAAATAAAATGCTTAGAGAGGGCTGGAGAGATGGCTCAGAAGTTAAGAGCACTGGCTACTCTTCCAGAGGTCCTGAGTTCAATTCCCAGCAGCCACATGGTGGCTCTGGTGTGCAGGCATACATGCAGGCAGAATGCTGTATACATAATAAATAAATAAATCTTTAAAAAATAAAATAAAATGCTTAGAGAATTAACATCCCCCCGCCTTTTATAGTTGGTTTGGTTTTATCTTTCTAAAATATAAGAAACCAGATTTCTGTGTGCTTTTCAGAAGAGTGAATTTTGAGATGGTGTCTTCATTCAGCTGGACTACCCCAAACCTGATTCCTTGGCCAGTGTGTTCTGTTCTCCAAACTTGTATGGCATGCTTTTTAAATCGTTGAGTTGCTAATTGGGAAGTTTGATCAGGGACGGGGGGGCTATAGCAGTAGAATTCTTGATGAAATTAAAGCCATACCTAACTTTATTAGCTCCTTGTTGACATGCTGTAATTCTGAAACTCTTAAGTAAAATTTCTAGAGCTTCAAGGTTGTGTGTGTGTCTGTGTACACGTGTATCCACGTGTGTCCATGTGGATGGGGGTAGGTGCATGTGAAGGCCAGAGGTAAGCCCTAAGGTGTCTCTTCTCAGGAACTGTTCCTGTTATATCCCTTGAGCCAGCTTCCGCTGCCCATTATTGAGCACTAGGAGCTCTGACTTGCAAGTGTAATGCTCTGCCAGAAGATGGCAGCAGGCATGCTGGAGTTAGACCTAGGAAACCTTAAAGGCCTGGTTCCTGTCACTGCTTAAATCCCTGTATTAACAAGCCAAAATAGTGTAATAGATACCTGTGAACCCTAGCTCTTCTACAACAACCATCAGCCATGGCCAGCCATACCCATGTTTCTCTTGTTTTGAAACAAATCCCCAACCAATGTTAAATATGAATTTAGAAGTAAGAAATCTCTTAGAAAAAAAAATATTGTTCTTCAATTTTGAAAACAATAGCAATATAATCTTTCTCGTCTTCCCATATTGGAAAATAGCATTTAATAATAGAAAAAAGGTAAAATTTATAGCCAAGCACATTTTTTATAGCTTCAGAATCCTAGTTTAATGACTTAGTATTTTGTGATTTTTGAGTAAACTTCTCTACTTTCTGCCTTGCAGAGTTGTGGAGAAATGATAGAAGTGAGAACTAGGTAAAGACTCACTAAATGGAAATGTACCAGTGTAATAATGAAGATTAATAGTTTCTAAGCTTGCTATAGTTTATGTACTAAACTTATAATGTGTTAATAAATATATAGCTAATTAGAAAATAAATTTCTCCATAGCCATTACTAGCTTTCTAAATAACATTTTGAAAGCAAACACATTTTCATTACTATGGATCTTTGCGTTCCTACTGTTTGTGGTTATAGTCTGTCATTTCCAGTAGTAGTCAGCCATCGCAGACACGTTCCTGTGACGGTGTTACACTGCTGGGAGAGTAATGTGGTCTTCACCTGGTTGCTGCATCGCTGTTCTGGTGGCTGTGACTCTGGTGTAAGATGCAACTGTGCTTCCTTGAGAGTGTGCTAAGCATTCATTTTGACTGCTTAGTTCTAGTGCGGGAGCAGACAATACTTTTCTCCATGTATTCTGGTAATAAAGCCGTTCCCTCTCTTCAGTCGGCTTTGCATTGTATACACTCCTGTCCTTTCCATTGATTCTACTTGATATTCTGAAAATGTATTCTCTTTCCCAAAAGAAAATCAAACCCTTGTCACAGTTTCAGTGACAGTTTAGTTTTACATAGATCAGTTTGTAAAATCCTTTTATATCTTTACTTACAGGACTTTCCTTTAGTCATTGTCCAGGGGGTTGGAAATTTTTTTTTATTATAACCCTCATTTCTGTAAACAACTATTTTTATTAAAATCTTAGGTAATATTAATATGTACCTTAACGTCACAAAAACATTGAGACTTGGGTCTAGGTGTTTTAAGTAGTTACTTTTATGACTTATAAAATTACTAGCAAAATAATGATAATGATCCTAAATACATTTTTTTCTTGTTCTTCCTTGGTAGGATTTTGAATATGGTGACTAGACAAGGGGCACTTTGGGCTAATACTCTAGGTTCCCTGGGTAAGTATAAATCTTTTTTTTTTTTTTTTTTTTTTTTTAGACAGGGTTTTGCTGTAGTTCTAGAGCCTGTCCTGGAGCTAGCTCTTGTAGACCAGGCTGGTCTCGAACTCACAGTGATCTGCCTGCCTCTGCCTCCCGAGTGCTGGGATTAAAGGCGTGCTGTACCACCTTTCCGGTTAAGTATAAATCTTGTTCAATGAATCTTTTGTTTTAAGACAAGGTATCATGTGGCTGAGTCTGAAACTTGTCTATATAACAAGTCTTAAGCTTGTTATATAGTTGAGGATAAACTTGGTTCTGATCCTCCTGGTCCCACCTTCCAAATTCTGAAATTACAGGTGTACACCTGGGAATAAACCCAGGGCTCCATGCATGCTAGGCAAACACTTCACCACTGCTAAGAAAGAATGTGTAGTTATCATGAGCAATTTGACCAACCAAAATTTTGGTTCTAGGCTCAACAATTAATATTTAAATCCACTCTGGTAATTATTGCAGCTATCATCTGTGAAAAGATTTATTTTATTTGCTTTATTTGTCTAAATAGTGTGCTAAGTAAAACCCTGTTTTAAACTGAATGATGCCCAAGGCATAGGGTTGTACCTGCTGAGAAAGACTCGAAGTCCTGCAGTGAGACGTGACAGATCTGCACAGACCTTTTGCTTTGTTTCCTAATAGCCTGTGTAGTGAGGGGCTGCGGGCAGGCCTGCTTTTTGCCTCATCCGGCTCCCGCATGGCTAGCGTAACCCGAGAAATAACAACATGTAAATTGTATTTATTTAAACATTGTCTGGCCCATTATCTCTAGAGAGTTAGTTACTGGCTAACTCTCACATCTTGATTAACCTATTTTTAATAATCTATGTAGCACCACAAGGTGGTGGCTTACCGGAAAAGATTTAGCATATCTGACCTGGTGGCTGGCTTTATGTACCCCAATAAGCCAGCAAGTCCCAAGGAAAATCATACATAGGACTCCATAGGATTGTAAACTGATTGGCCCTTTAGGTCAGGCTATTTATTAGCTCTTATAACTTATGTTACCCCATTATCCTTATCTATGTTAGCATATGGCTCCGTACCTTTTTTAGCTTGGCAAGTTACATGTTGTCTCTTTGGTAGTCTGTGTAGGAGTGTGGGGAGCTTCCTGTTTTTTTAGAATATTTTTAGTCTCTTTGCTCCATCCCTGTTTTTTGTTTGGCTTTTTCGCCTATATTGTCTGTTTGGCCAATCAGCGTTTTATTAAAATATGATTGACAGAATATAGATAATTTTCCCGCATCATTTCCCTCTTTTTTTTTTTTTTTTTAAACAAAGGAAAATATCCATAGTCTATTTGTTGGGAATGTGGGCGTAGTATTTTAGGCTACTTTTTGCTGGTTGGGGGCGCTGATGATCTTATGGGGACCTAAAGAAAATTTAGAGTTATAATCAATTTTTGACTGGAATATCTTGTGAGTCTTGATCATCTCAGGCAGCAGTCTTGAACCTGGTTTGGATGAAGAACTCTGTCATCTGGGCCATCTGTTTTTATTGGAGATTTTTTGGAGTTCTTCCTTGGTTAAAGATGATTTTTTTTAATTTTGAATAAATCCAGAGCCTCTCATTTTTTGTGGAAACAAAAGCAAAATTTTTTCTCCAAAGTAGTAAACCTTTTGACTTTAGTTTTGAAGCCAAGGTATTTTTAAAATATCTAACTTGGGTTAGTTTAGCAGTATTTATAAACAAAAGTCTTTTAGCAGCTGTTGCTCCTTTTTCAGCATTTAAACAATTTAAAGGGAGCATAATAGCATACAGCATCAAGATTTTTTGTGTATTTTTTATCTTTATGTAGCTTTATTTTAACCTCTTTTTTTTATTTTTACTTTTAACTTTTGGCTTTTTGAGACAGGTTTTCTGTATATATCTTTGTCCTGGAATAACTCTGTAGACCAGGCTGTCCTTGAACTCACAGAGATTCCTCTGTCTCTGCCTCCCCAGTGCTGGGCTCAAAGGTGTATGCTACCACACCTTGAACTCACAGAGATCTGTCTGTCTCTGTCTACCAGGCATTGGGATTAAAGGCATGTACTACCACACCTTGAGGTCACAGAGGTCAATCTAGAGTACCGTTGAAGTCATAGAGGTCAATATGCCTCTGCCTCCCAGGCATTGGGATTACCTGGTAAACCACCACCTCGTGATGCTACACAGATTATTAAAAATGGGTTAGATCAATATGTAAGAGTTAGCCAATAAGAGGCTACAGATAATGGGCCAATCAATGTTTAAATAAATACAGTTTCCTTATAATTATTTCGGGTAAAGGTGGCCGGGTGGGCGGTGGGAAGTTGCCCGCCACTCCTTTTACAAGCCTGTAGATTCCAGGACCTGAATGGCAGGGCTGCAGTAAGCCTTTGTGGATAAGGAAAGCAGTCTCAGTTGCAGGCGGGGTAATTTAATGCTGCTTAGTCAGAGCCTGGTGACTTAAAATTACCTGTGGCCCATATGCCTTACTATCTGAGGTTTATAGTTTACAGACAAGCTGACCTTACGGTGCTCTTCCTACTTGTTGCAGAGTAAGTAAGAGACGGAATTGTTGAAAATACAAAAGGGCCTCCATTGTAACCAAGTAAGATTCTAACCTTGACTATGGTATTTGGAAGCAGTACATTTTGACACCATAAAGCCAAATTCACACTTTTTATTCTGACAAATGGCAGCTGTGATGTTCTGCTTATGTCTACAACCCTGAAATACCTGCTTACACAAGTCATGGTCCTTTGCTCTTTTGTAATTGCTTATTTACTTGGTAAACTCAGCAGTCCATGCCTGTATTACAACTTTCTTGTTTTTAGCAACCCCACGGTCCTAGACAAGATGGAATAGATGGTCATTCTGTTGGTTACTGTTTTTCAATTGTAATGTCATATGACTGGTCACAATGGTATTACATGATCAGTTTCAGTTGAATATGCTTAACAGAAAGACTAGCTTTCATGAAAGTATAGAGAAGTTACACAACAGGCAAAAGGGTAAGGCTGTGCTTGATGCATTGTTGGAGAGGCAAATATAACTAGGTTTGCTTTGAGCCAGGATCTCTCTTAAGTTTTAGCTACCTTGCTATGTTGATGATGCTGGCCTGGAACTCAAGAGATTTACCTTTTTCTGCCTTTAGAGTACTGATATTAAAGGAGTATACTACCTGTGTAACAATGGTAGAAAAGTGTTCTAATGCATTATGCCTGGTAAATGTAGGTAAAGTACATGTAAGGGTTTGGATGAAGATACTGTAAAACTTAAGGATTTTGTAGCATGTGGAAGTCAGACCTCAAATTCTTTTATTGATCTTGTGTGCAAGGTTTTTGTTGATTTGGGGAGGCAGGTGACAGAATTTTACTGTGTGGCCCTGGGTGGACTAGGACGTGGCATGTAGACTAGGCTGGCCTCTAACTCATGGAGATCTGCCTTCCTCTGCCTCACAAGTGCTAGGATTAAAGATGTGTCACTGTTGGCTATATTGCTTTCCTATAATAGAAACATATAAGTGTTTTAATTAAAAAATATAACAACTATTTGAGGTAGTATAAGTAAAATTTTGAAATATTTTTCTTGGACTCTACAGTAATATTTTCTAGAAATAGCATTTATTCTACATCTTTGCATAATCGGTCAGTTGTGTGCTACTATATATATGTGCCAGCTTTATGTATCAGTGAATGTAGGTCTTGCTGACTTTTTTGTTTGTTTTGCTTTTGAGACAGGGTTTCTCTGTGTAGCCCAGGCTGTCCTTGAACACAAGAGATCCACTTACTTCTGCCTCTTGGTGCTGGGATTAAAGGTGCACCACCATTGCTGGCATATTCATAGCTGTCACTGTGGTCTTCTGTATTATGGAAAGTTCTTGTCTGGGTCAGTGCAGTGATACAGATGTTTTTGGGGGGACATTTTGTTTTTAGATTTTTTTTTTCTATTAGAAGCAGTGATCCAGTGATGTATGTGTTTGGGTGTGCGTACCTACTATGATTACCATGTTAACTTTTACCACTGATCTCTCTTTCTGCTGTAGCTTTGCTGTATAGTGCATTTGGTGTTATCATTGAGAAAACACGGGGTGCAGAAGATGACCTCAACACAATAGCAGCCGGAACCATGACGGGAATGTTGTATAAATGTACAGGTAGGCAGTACTGAATGAAGAAGTGAAATTTGTTTTTATCTATAATATTCAGAGAAAATTTTGTGTGATATAAATGTGTGTATGTGTGTGTGTTTGTTTACAGTGCAACCTAGTACACTAACCTTATGGTTATTAAGGGTTTTATTGGTTTCTTTGTTGGTTTCATCTTGTAAACTGGCCTTGAACTTACCATCCTGCCTTACCCTCCTGAGTACTGGAATTACTGGCTGTGCTACACTATGCTCGGTATTTGTCCCTCCCCAGCTCCTGGCAATGTCATGCTCTACCTTTGTTACCTCGTAATTGTACCTGTAGTGGAACGCTACAGTATTTGTCCTTTTATGACTGCCATACTGTGTAACTATGACATCCATGTTATATTACACTTCTAAATCTCCTCTTTTTCTTCATCTGTCCCCCATCAGATAATGAAGGGTTCTGTTTGTAAGTCATCTAACTTACAAACCGGAAAAGAGTAAGATCACAGTACCTTTTTCCATAAACAAGTTGAAATTAAGGCAAGATAATTTACCTGCTTTACCTGCTGCCTTTCTTTTATGACGTACGCTAAGCAGATCCTAATCTGACTCAAAAGTCCCATTACTCCTCCCACCCCCCTGTACCACATTGTTTCTTGAATGGAGTAATAATGAAATTTTTAGAAAAAGGAAGGAGTAATAGTTGAGCTGGGCCTGAAAAATCTACTGAATTTCAGATATATCTCTTAGTCACCTAACCATGAGAAAGGCGTGGGACCCAAGTCTGGAAGAGAGTTTTAGGTTTGGAACATAGGAAGCCATAGTGAGAAGTTTAAATTTAGGTTAAATTTTTAGGTTAAAAGTCATGAGAGATGTTTGAATAAAGAATTACTAGAATTGGTCTGGAAAGATGACTTGACACTTGACTGCTCTTCCAAAGGACCTGTGTTTGAGTCTCAGCTCCCACAAGGTGGCTCACAGCCATCTGTAACATAGCTAGTCCTCTGTGGTTACTGCTTACATGTCATGTGCGTGCTCACATGCAAGCAAAACATTAGTATACAATCAATGAAAGAATTATTATAGTCATACTGTGGGAGGTTGATAGAAATGTGGTTAGAAGGTAAAAGCATAAAGTAGAGCCGGGCGGTGGTGGCGCATGCCTTTAATCCCAGCACAGGGGAGGCAGGGGAAGGCAGACCTCTCTGAGTTCAAGGCCAGCCTGGTCTGCTGTGTGAGTGCCAGGACAAGCTCCAATGCTACACAGAGAAATCTTGTCTCAAAAAACCCAAATAGATAAATAAGTCAAAATAACTAAAGAATACTACTAATGTTGTTTAAGGTTTAGGATATTAGCCTCAACTCAAATGACAGACGATAAACTTCACAACTGATGAAGACGTGAGGGAAAGGCACATATTTAAAGACGGTTGGATTATGCTGGAAGTGTAACTTAGTTGTCAGAGTACTTGCCTAGCATACATGAAGTTGTGCTTGGTTAAATTTTCAGGGCTGCGTAAAACCGGATGTGGTTCACAAGTGTAATCGAAGCACTCAAGGTGGAGAATCAAAAGTTCAAGGTCATTTTTAGCTGTGTAGGGAATTTGAGATCAAGCTTGCCTCGAGACGTTATTAAAAAGCAAAGCAAATAGAAATCTAGCTTGTAACGTGGTAAAAATTTTGTATTATTAGTTGACTTTTGCTTTGCTGACTGAAATGTCTGACAGAAACAACGTGAAGGAGGGGGTGTTTATTTGGATTGAATGTTCCTGAGTTGGTAAGACCTGTAGCAGCAGAGCGGTTCATGTTATAGCTTGCCATGAAACAAAAGGAACGGTGGCAAACAACTGGCTTTCTCCTTTTCCCCTTTTATTTTGTCTAGCCCCCTGCCTATGGGATGGTGCCACTTTCCTTCAGGATAGAATTTTCCCCTTCAGTTAATCCTCTGCAATGCCCTTAGAATCAGTCAAATTGACAGCAAAAATTAACCATCACAGTGTGACTTTGAGTGGCATATATTCTGGCTCACTCAGCACCGTACCTTATATGTATATAGTCTCTTTAAGGCAAGAGAAAACTCAATAAAGTATGTCAACTGTTTTTGACTCCCATAGTACTGAATCCTTTTAGAAAAGTGATGTTTTGTCTCATTTTATGTCTCCCAGTGATTCTTGGTCATTCGAGCAACTTTCCTGTAGACATTGCTTTTATTTAGCAGAGTGAGTTGTATAGTAGAACTCTGTGAAAGTTTTTATAAATTCTAATTTAATGTCTGGTATATTATAAACTACTTGGGAGAAAGGGTGAACACTTAATTCTGGAAGTTAAAATAGGCACATTCAAGCTTATGGTAAAATGGGAATACCATTTAGAAGATAAGACTGTGGAGGGCCGGACCACATTCTCCATTGCTTCTAGGAACAAAGGTAGAGATTGACCTCTGTGACCCCAAGGTGTGGCGGTACACGCCTTTAGTCCTGATGCCTGGGCGGCAGAGGCAGATTGACCTCTGTGACCTCAAGGCGTGGTAGTATACGCCTTTGGTCCCAATGCCTGGGAGGCAGAGACAGGCAGATCTCTGTGAGTTCAAGGTGATGTAACACACGCCTTTAATCCCAGCGCACGTGCTTGGTAACTCTCTACCGTGCTTGGTAACTCTCTACCGCTGCGTCCCTGCCTACTCCCGAGGCATCATCTGGGATAATGGGCAGTGGACCAATCCAAGAGTGACACGTCAAAAGCGAGGACTGTTTCCTTTATAAGGGCTGGGTTCCCCTCATTCGGGGTCTCCGCTTTGGAAGCTGATGCTCTCCCTCTCAAGAGGCATTAAAGCTTTACTGCAGAAGTATCCTAAGTGCCCCGCGTCGTTCTTGCTGGCGAGACGGTAGCGTGAGACATAAGACTTAGAAGTCCGGTTAATTCCTAGCCGTTAAACTGGCCCTTGAGGCTCACTCTTCTACCTGATTTGATCTCTTGATACATTGAAGACTCCAGAGTAGACCATTCTTTCATCTGACTTTTACTTCTCATTTAAGAGTCTTCATTTTTTATGTGCCTTTTTCTTAGCATACTCTTTCCAAATAATTATTTTTTTTAGATTTATTTATTATGTATACAGTATTCTGAGTATTCTGTCTGCATGTATGCCTGCAGGCCAGAAGAGGACACCAGATCTTTTTACAGATGGTTGTGAGCCACCATGTGGTTGCTGGGAATTGAACTCAGGATCTTTGGAAAAGCAGGCAGTGCTCTTAACCACTGAGCCATCTCTCCGGCCCCCCAAATAATTTTTTTTCATATCTCTTTTATTTTCCTTTCTTATTCCAAGCAAATAATGTGTTTTACAAATTCTCACCTGTTTGTTTTTGTTTATATGTGGCTTTCTTGAGACCTCCCTTAAACACTGTAGTACATTCTGTCATGCGGGGTAAATTGCTGAATGCCAGATTACTTAAGAAAAAATTCTGCATATTAAAAGTGATAATAACTATTGCCAAAGTGACCTTTGAAGAGTTTACATACCATTATCAGTTTGAAGTATTATCTACCCTATTTTTAATTAAGCTTTATTTTTATTATTTTTAGTTAATGTATATTATGTTAATGCCTGCATGGGCACATGGAGGATACCCTAGGTGTTAAAGCCCCTAAAGCTGGAGTTACAGGTTGTTGTCGCTGCCTGATGTATATGGTGGGAGTCTTAACTCCATCCTCTGGAAGAGGATGTTCTTAATCATTAAGACGTGTCTCCAGCCCTACCATTGCTTTGAAATGAATGTGAACTGGTGAAAGATAGTTTTTGTTGTTATTGATTGGGTTTAGTTTCGAGACAGAACGAGGCTGGCTTCAAGACTTACGGGAACTCCCCACATGTAAGCCAAAAATAGTGTCTTGTGTCTCACTTTGTTTTTCCCTAGTTGGTGATAAGATTGAGCAACTTCTGTTATTTATTACCATTGTAATTTCCCTGAAGCTCTTTCTTCTTTCCTACTGGGTGTGCCTTCAATTAATTTTCAACATTATGGCAATTAGCCTTTTACCTATTACATATGGTATGTGAAATTTTATCTATTTTTAAGCTGGGCTTAAGACACCAACTGTAATCCATTTTTGTTCAACTACTATCTTAGAACACTGAAGATTGTCAAGGCCAGCCTGGACAATTTCTTTATTTCAAAAAATAAAGATGGGATCAGGTTATCACTCATGTGTAGAATGCTTGCCTATCATTCATGAGACTCTAGGTTCAATTTCCAGTTTCTCAGGAAAAAAAAAAAAACTTTTTAATTTGATACTTTAAAATGACAGTAATGGAAAAGGTCATTAAGGGGTACTTTAGAATGTGCATTTGAATTTTGTAGATCTGACGTTTAGTTTTGACATTGGTAAAGAGAACCATTAACTAATGATAACCCTAACGCTTTCTAAATTTGAAGTACTGACTTTGAATATCCTTTCACTAATGTTACTTTATGAACTGACATTGTTATGGAAAGCTAAGACTAACAGAAGACATTAGCAAAGAGAGCAGACTCACTCTTCCTTGACTTCTTTGGCTTTTTGGGCCTTATTTCTCAATCACCAGCTCATTCTAAGATGCGTGCTTCTTGATGGAAAATTAGCTGTTCTTATCACGGTAGAATGTGATCATTATTGAATGCTTTCTTGTGTTTTCATGGAATCTAACTCCCGTCCTTTAGGAAAAAATAGCACAGACATTAGACTAGATTAAAATTATGAAACCCTGCCCCCCCCCAATCTTTTTGAAACTGTATCTCTTGTAGCCAAGGCTGGTCCCCAGCTGAGTCTGTATCTAAAGATAGACTTGACCTCCTGGTCCTCTAGCCTCTGTTTCCCAGGTGCTAGATTTTCAGGCCCGTGTCACCATGCTTAGCTTAAGTTTTTCCTTCTGCTCTAGGAGCTCCATAATAATTTACACACTACACTAAAAGTGTTTTTACACCGAGTGTCGAGTCCTTGAATCTAAAAAGTTGAAGTTCTGTATGTATTCTGCCACACAAA